AAAATTATCGCCTAGCACGGGAGGCGATGGCAGTTGAAAGTACACTCAAGTAGTCTCGGTGATTTCTAGTGTTTGCATGGCTTATTCAACTTTAGCCAGTTCCAAAAAGAAAGAAAAGAATCGTTGGAACAAGTGTCTATGTGAGATTTGGACTGGATGTAGGCTGGGCGGCCCTCCTAGGCGTCTAGAAATCTCAAAAATGTGCACAGACTCCGCGTCATCCGCTTCCGCCCGCTTATCCACGATAGCATCCAACGACGACGGTTGGAGCAGACCGACCTGAGCTCTGCCGACGATGTCTGGCAAGGCGATTTAGCAAATTAAAAGGTTTTTAATGCATGGAGTGCTCTCTTACTTACTTCATAATTTGATGCCAGCCATGCAAATGCGAATACAGCTGAGTCCACAGGACGAGCCGTAATCCAGAATCCGCATTTGCTTCAGTGGGCTGTCTTTTATTTTTATCCAAGACTTGTAATTTTTGTACTTTTGGAAGGGTTTGTGCAATTTCCCCTTTGACTATTGCAATAGAAAAACTTATAGTCGCAGGATGCGAGGAATTTGTTTTTTAATTGCAAAATAAGTTAAAAAAGTTGTACTATAAGTCGGAATTGAATATAAATTTCAGAGTTTAAAGCCCGCAAATTGAAAACCATGAGTGGTGTGAGTTAATTTAAAAGTTAATTTCCTCGAAGAATAAACACTTATTACGGACGTTAACATCCGATTAATCGCCATTGTACCCACACTCTCGACTTTGCTCGGCAACTGATTCCTCCAAATTTAAATGAAGTAATCTATTAAAACCCTCTTGAAATGTTACCGCAAATTACACACTTGACTGCCACAGCTACACACTTTCTGCACATTGGCACATCGCGGAAAACCGGGAAATGCAAAACGAAGCCTTGTTTTGCAGGCGCACACACGCGACAACTGTCACGTGTTCCGTTGAGTGCTTTGTTCTGGAAAATTTCGCAGGTCGGAAAATTCGCAAGTGAATGGTGTGAGGGGTTTACACCCTCAACATGCGTCCCATTTATTTTTGCAATTCCCGTCAGCCAATTTCCTTAATATTGGGTTATTGGGTTGTGTACTTTTGCGGGTTTCGGCGGTAATAGAGATCTGGGCATTAGTAAATTCTTCGACAACATTGAAGCTCATGAATGTTCAATTGCTTTGTGTAAAAAAGCAAGGCATTTGAAACGCTTTGCGATTGCCAAAATGACAGTTAAATATTTGATAAATTTTCACGAGTGTGGGATACGAGTAGAATAACACGCTGTGCCTGCAAAGGAGGGGTTCGTTGAACGGATTTTATTACTTGGAAAATGGCATGCAAGTAAAAGTTGCCTTCACATTGCTCTGGGCTATTTCTGGTTTCTTAAGGGCGCTACTTTCAACAAATTGAGCCAATTTTATTATCAGGGGTATGAGGCTTTTTTCGATAGCATTTAAGGAATGGAAAAGGTTCCGAACAACAAAGGTGGAAAAGAAAACCCAGAAACCCGAAGACGACAATTATTAACATAAGCTCAAACTATTTTATTCCTTAGAAATAAATTCCAAATATAATTTCCTGTTATTTAATTTCACTTTCTTTCAAGCCGAACCAACAAACAATATGCAAAAGACAAACTTTGACGGTTACAAGAAAGGCATGCCTTGCCTAGGATAAGAAATTTCAAGAACAACTAAAAATTCCTGAGCAGGCAAATAATAATAATTTTGTGCACAATCCTCGGACTCGGGACCCTCTCCCCACTTCCCGGAGAGGTCAGACTACGCCTTTGTTTATGAGGCAGTAATATTGAAATCAGGATAATTGTGCAAAAGGATGTGAAGAAAAAACCGCAAATAGTTTGGGTTCCGAGCAAAGTACCAGTCCCAAGTAGTCATTCATTCCGTAACGAAGATATCTCGAGAGCAATTTCAGTGCGACAAAAGCGGAAAAGTGAGGGCAGTGGACGTCGAAGGCTGAAGTGGAGTGAAAAACTCTACCATGCAGAAAGTGGTCAACATTTTGCCACTGCCATGGGCAAGAATAAAAGACGTCGCCTGGCAAATGCATCCAAATGCACAAAAAAGGTAGCAATCATGGTGCCGAGTAGTCGTCGAATAATAATAACCTCCATCCTAGTTTATGTTGTGTGCTGCTTAGCAGTGGCAGCTCTTGCGGTAATAAACCATAAGACATTCCCTGTGGCATATTCTCGTAAATGTGGCAGTGAAAGGGGAATTAAAATAACCACTTAGTTCAGAAATGTAAGCAGTTGAATTTAACCATTTCCCGAACTCAAGGGTTTATAAATTCTGGACGAGAAATAAATAAAGTTAGTAGGTAAAAAAGGCGATACCAGTAAATTTTCAAACAGCTTCCATCAAGTATTTTTTTTTAAGAGTTAAAGCTTTTCGTCAGTTTTTATAATTCGTATAAGGAACACAGTCAGCCAGGCATTAACTCTTACCCAGCTAAAGTTGCAATCCCATTCGCTTGCAGGGGAATCAGAAGCACCTTAAGGTCACAAGAGCCATCACCCTCCTGAGCAACCCTATTCCAAATTCGAACCCAAAAAATAACCTCAAATTAGCATTCATAAAACTCCTGTTCATCAGAACCGCTGTCGCCATCTCATCGTGGTCGTCAAGCGCATCTCAAAGGACGTTCTTTCATAATTAATTCTCACACAGAAAAATGTTCAAAGATATTTTTGCACTTTTGCACAACCACCCCAGCCACCTCTTGCCACATCCTACCGTGCACTTGCCTTTCAAAATACTCTGCTTGTGTGGCAACGTCAAAAGCAGCGACAGCCCAAAACAAAGCAAAATGCTAAATGCGGCGAAAAATCAAAAAGCAAAGCGAGCAAAAATAAAACATGTTTACCTCTACAATTTGACTGCTACTTTTCTTATGCGGGTGGGTGGATATGCAAATTTCGCTGGGATTGTACATTGGGACTAGCTCTCTGGTTGTTGGGCCGACTAACTGCACCGCACCGCCTCTGCTGCTATGATTTATATACTCACGGCGTGCGCGTATTTATCAAACTCTAATTAATCGGTGATAAACCGATCAAGACGCTAAATGCTGCGCTACACGAAGCCACCAAAATACCGAATCAACGAAGTCTCTCAGCAGACTCTCACAGCGGATCTGCACTTTGCGCCGGCAAACGGGTTTGGAACACCTCTTCCCAAAACTTGGCTTCGATTGCTTTTATGTTTCTGGTTTCTGGTTTCTGTTTCGCAGTGCACCGATTACCATGTGATTCCGTCCACCCCTTCCCCTATCTTCCCACCACACCGCAACCCACCAATATCATCATCCACATCTGCAGCCCCTTCGCGCCCTCCGATTCGGGAGTACGAGTATTTGTTGAAGCAATTTGCTTTCCTGAATCTTGTGCCTGACCAAGGCGACTGCGATGCAATCAATATATGCTCGTGTCCAGCAAATAATAGACTTCAAACTGGCATTTTAAGAGTTTCTTTTTTCATAGCCACGTCGTCTCAGTACGAAGTGCGACTAAGCCTGCAAGGAGTCCATCGAACGTTTTGGGGATACGATAATTTCATTCCTCTCTCCGTGGGCAGAAGACTTTTCCCCCAAATGCTACATAGTTAGAGTTAAAAATAGTTGGTGTGCGTTGAACGTTCAGGGGGCTCTATCAAGTCCAAGCTGCCTTTTCTCCATGAGACCAGCCTCTCGAAGATCACTTTTCACGACCTGAGTGCGAGCCTCCTGTATATGTCATAGCATTGAACTCTAATCCACTTAACCAAATCAATTTATTAGCCACGTATGACTTATGCCTTTTTAAATGTGCGCTTGCATGTGTTGTCTAGTTTAAAGTTGAGCGTTTAAGGTTGGCCAAGCTGCAAGGGCGGACCTATTCGCGGACCTAACTGAGGAGGCTCCAGAAATTTATGTTAACATGGTCTGCGTAGCGCCCTCTGGTGTGTAATTTGGAGTTGTTTAGGTATCACGATTACGATTCGACTTAAACAACTGGGGTTTCGCCGACCCTAAGTCGGTGCAAATAGACCGTAAAATACGAGCACTCGTATATGTGTTTTGCAATAGTTGCTTGGGTGTAAGCCATGATTATCTCTGCTGTAAATGATATGTGTATGAAAAATACTGTTCTGTAGGAGACCATTTAGCGTCGATAGTAAGCGTGTGAATCGAAAGCTGGGAGTGGTATGAGCTAAGGTCTTGAGCCGTATTTATTTATAGGTGTGTAATAGTGACCAGCCAGGGGCTTCTGACTCCGCACAGCACTCCCAAAGTCAACAAACGGTGAAAAGTTCGAAATATCAATTACCAAGCTAGGCAGAGCTCGTTGCCAAAAAATGGGGGAAGAAAATATTTAGTTTTTTGGCTTAACTTTTTGAACAGCTTCCGCCGTCTACGGATCCGCACATAAACGTTGAGTATAAATTGAAAAAGCCATTTTGCTGCCAATTTAGCAAACACTTAAACCAATTTTGCACTTCAATCCACCGACGCACACAAAAAACAGGCTCCCACACTTCTCCAGTCCCTTCGCAGCTGAAGCCACACATTTGCACATCCCGGATCGCAGGACAGGCGAATGACAGTCCGTGCAGCTTGCATCGACGCCGGGACGACCCAAAAGTCAGTTGCCTGTCCCGAAGAAGGGAATGTGTAGGAAGCATCCAAAGCGTTGCCAACAAAGTGTGAAAATGTCAAGTCGTAAAGTGTGCACTGGCCAGGAGCTCGGAGCGGGCAGGGTGATGGGGCCAAGTCTGTGAAGTGAAATACTTGCGGATGTGGGTGGCCTTCACACCCCTATCTGTCCATGCAGTTTTAATTTAATAGTCTACTGAAGGAGAGGTATCAGCATAAGAGGGAACTCAGTGTAGATTAGTGTAGTATAGTTAAGCATCAGCAAAGAGGAGCGTATTATGGGGTTCAAGTGTTCGCAAAGGTGGAACAAAACACCGAGCAACCTCTGTCTAGAAAATCGATTCTGTCAAAGATTCCAAATCTTAACGAAAAATGTCTTGTATTTGCCAATTTTATACGTCCAGTGGTGATATCCCCAGGGACCTTGTGACGATTCCACTGCCCACTGCTGATGATATCCCTACACCCGACAACTCCACACAAGAGTGAGCGTTCATTTGATTAGCATCTCAATTTGCTACCATTTGGTTTTTTTTAGTGCTGGTGCAGAATCACTAGAGCCAATCACTCACAAAAGTGCGATGTCAACCTCGGATCTGGCCGATTGTAGTGCACAGAACTGGCTTCTGAAGAAGAAGCTGCTGGAATACGAGGTAACCATTGAGAATCTTGAACAGTTGGTGACCACTATAGTAGAGAAGCAGCATCAGATCTTAAGCGAAATGTTTTACTTGTGCAAGGAGAACCGAGAGCTGCAGTCCGAGTGCCATCTTCAACGCGAGTATCACTCAATGGAGAGAAACGCACTAATGAGGCAGTTGCATGACGCCCAGACCTTGGGTCAAAGCCGAAATTTTCTCTTGGTGAGTCTGTAAATGTCGCCAGATCAATATAAGAGCATTTATCAATCCCATACCCAGGGAAGTCGATCAAATGAAAGTAAAGGAAGTTCGAACTTTATACCTGGAGACCCGCTTATGAACTCTGGATCCTCTAATGCCGACAGTGAAGAGGCCTACACTAGTGACTCTGACGACGATGAACATGGATGCGTCAGCATTGAAGAAACGGGATCGGATACCGAAGAAGAAAATTGCGATGTCCTCTCAGCACCAAGTTCGGATGAGAATTCCGAAGGGGCATCCCCGTCGTCATCAGGCTCAGCATCTACTGATACGGATTCGGATGACAACCGATCTCCTGATTACACCAGCAATGAGGATCGTAACAGCGACACCACTTAATCAGACAAATAATTACAGCTACTTTAGAGGTTTTGAGTTTATATTTTTAAAGATTACAGTACATTTTGAAGTTAAAAACTTAAGCAGGGAAGCTTCCTAACATCGTTCGTAATAACCTCACATTTATCGCATTAGGTAATCCAAACAAAAACGTGACAATCGCACAAAACAAACCAAACAATAAATTTGACATAACGTGACGGTAGAAAGCAGACCGTCACACAGACAAACAATGCAAAGCACAAACGCATCAAATGAGAAAAATGGAGAAAACCTGTGCAAAGTATTTGTATATCAAAACGCTAAAGGGCTGTGGAACATCCTTACCAGAAGAGCTCTTCAGGTCGTTGGCACATAAATATGATTGAATGGCTGGTAAATATGATAGGCACCATGAGGGAGTATTCAAATCACTGGCAAAAACGTGTTAAGTGTTTATCTATCGAAAAAGTTGAAGGCAAAAAAACATTACAGCCTCAGCAGCAAACCCGATTATAGATTCTGGCTGAACTTTACATGGGTTGGGACTTGGCCCTAAGCAATGTGGTAAGAGAAGCGAGGATGTGTGCTTGTGCTGCTTGTGTGGCGGGCTATTTATCAAGCTGCAAAGTTTCGGGCACAAATGAGTCGTGGCAAGGCAGCCGAAGGTCCCGGTCACCCGTTTGCCACCAGGATTAATGAGTCTCGTGTGCTTTTGGTGCTGCTCGTCCTATGCTATATCCTCGAAACCCGTCTCACAACACGTACGAATAATCCATCATCAGACCTCTTGCCAACTTCTGGAAGCTGTGGATTGCTTTACAGATCGCCTAACTGTACTCTGTTCTGTGTGGGGTTCTTGGATAACATATATGGATATTGATAACAAAACTTATGATAAGTTTAAAAGTGGTATCCATGAGATGGCTATCTTGAGATTCTTAAGTTTTGTGTTCGCACAAACAAAAGAGGAAACAACAATGCATTGTCAAGTACCCCGAGCTGCTGGTCATCGTAACTACCGTCCCAGAGCAGTTATTAATGACCAACAACCTCGACTCTATGCATATCGAGTCAAGAACTGTTTGCAATATCATTTATCAGGCGAGAATTTTGTTCAGAAACTTGTTGCGCGCAAAAAAGGTTTTCGTGTACACCTGAGAATCGCAATTGATACCTTACCTTTTCACGGACAAGCTACTGAGGACTACCGCAGCACAAATGACTTGGATAAGAGATGTGAAACCGAACAAGGCATGAAAGAAAAGCGCGCTGTTACGACTTGAATATATTAATATGCGATGCCGACTTGGCAACCTAAATGCTATGCAAATCACATCATGAGAGGTGAGGCAGTATTAAACTGCATCGTTTTTGCTGGGCGAGTCCCCCGCTCCGACTCCTTAACTTTACAATTACATCCTTCACATTGCAGCAGCATCCCCGAAAGCAGCAACAAGTAGCTTAGAATTGCATGTGTCTGAGCAATGGGAACGGTGGCGAGTACGGGTGAGTATGATATTAATGGACTTGTGTCTTTCAGGCTACTTTGATATTTTCTTGAGGGTTTGTTTGGTACAGACATATGACACCGAAGAGTTGCTAAGTGGTTGTTCGGTTGACTTTGTATATGACTAATATGCCTTATGGGTGCAAGGTACGACCGTGCCTCCTATGCAGTAATTTAATGTTATAAGAAAATAAACGATAAAAACCGTTTTTTCTGGATCAACGCCTACCTATTTACTCAACCGTGTAAATACACAAAACATTCGCAGAAAAACTGCAAAATCGTATTCGCGTGTTCTAAGCAATTTCAAACCAATAATCGTTGGGTGTCTTTTAAATTAAGTAACCAGAGCCATGCAAGCCAAATATTAAGCCGTATTGACATGCCTGTCAATATGTGTGTGATGGAAAAAGGGCAAGGACTTTTTGTTATTTTTTGCATTTAACTAATCTAAAATTGAAATCATTTTTCTGCTGAAGCCAGAGGAAATGCGGCAAAACGATACAAGAACGAATAAATAATACATTGCGATTGTAAATGTAGTGCGAAGTCAAGTCATGAAACATACACGATAGCATTTAAATATGCAACAAATGAGCACCTACTCGTATTAATGCTTTAAAGGAATGGCAATCCATCAGAGAGCCAAAAAACATAATTAACAAACACAGGAAGAGTGTGTATATGCCCTTAGACAGGGTCAATTTCCTACCCCTAATAAACCGTTTGATTTTAATCAATGAACCGCAAAGTCAAATACATGAAAATGCTATCCAATGAAGCCAGACAGACAACATTTTCTCTTTCTTAATTGTAAGCCTATTTCCGTTTATACTGCGCGACTCATTAAATAGCTTTCGTATTTGCTTAGACACGGCAACTATGCAAACAGCTTTCAGCTGCAACTTTCTCCTGGGGGTAAATGCTGAAAAGGAGAATATATTCCATCAAAGACCTTAATAAATACACTCGTTTACCACATAGGGTTTCTCATGCATATTTATGACACTTAATTTTTTTTTGTTAGCCGATGAATGAAATCGAAGAGTATTTATTTATTTCAGCGAATACATAGATATACATACACAGTATAGCCCATTGCTTAACTTTATTCTAACAGGCTGAACCCCTTTCTTTGGCGTAATTAGAAGTCCCCATTTTTGTATTATACGCTGTGAGGATACCCTTGTGGCCCATGCATATTTATGAGTATGGATTTAATAAACATTTGTATTTTGACTGATAATAGTCAGTTTTGTTGGTACTAAGCTTGATAAACACAACTGAAAGACTTTTGGCTTGACTAACCCATTTGCCTTTGCTGGGATTTGTTAATGTCCTGATCCAACCATCCAATAAATGCAGGTAAATTACAGCCATATAGGTTCCAAAACACGTGTTATCCCAGTCATTTGCAATTTTGCTTCGTACTCTGACTGTAGACCAGACTCGGTATTGTAAAAAAAGAGCCAACGTTCAAAGCGTACTTTGAATCATACTGATTTGAGTGAAAGAAAACATTTTCTAAATTAAGGAAAATAATATAGCACACAGAAAGGTGGACGAGCGTCGTGGAAAGTGCAACATGTGTTGCACCCAGAGAACCGGTAGGTTTGCGATCGTTATCACCAAATCAGCAGCAGGGGTTAATAGGAGACGAACCGAGTTAACGATCGCCCAGCTCGAAGCCAGCACACATGGCCCCTACTTTGGCCTCGCAGCCTCCAGCCAGGGGATTGGGTCTAGGTGCAGCTGCATTGGAGTTGGCTACATTATTTGCAGATCTCGCACCTTGGCTACCAACGTAGCCAGCGAATGGAAACCGATCATGGCACCCCTGCCCCGGTCAGCAGCTCGCACTTGACCATACTTATCCATCTTTTTTGCAAAATGTTGTGATAAAGCCAGCGATCGGCAACCAGGAAAGATCGAAATCGGCGTTTGATCGCCTATTCGCTTTGCCATACTTTGATTATGCTTAAGTAGACAGCAAGCTACTTAACCCCCAGGTAAAGCGGTTGACTTTGACGATCAGCTTTTGCTGGAAGAGAGAGGAAGAGTAGACCGCGGATTATCTTGTTTTGGCAGGGCGTCATTTTTTAGTAAATTACTTTAATAGTATAAACATAATCATTTGTGCTGCGGCTGCTGCTCAGCAAGGCAACCAAGTAGGTGCATGGCACCATTCAAACGCAAGCTGTACAAGGCTTACATTTCACATTGTGGAGAGGAGCAAGCCCGTGCCCATGCTCTGGTAGTAATTTCATTCTAGTTACGAAGCTGTGATCGGTCGAATCACAGTTATCTGGGTAACAGTGAAAAATTGAAAATTGTGTATATGCAAGGAATAGACTTCAGAATGGACTTTGGCTTCGTTAATATTTATGTTTGAGATGCATTCCCCACAGTATTAACTTTTCCTTACTAGACGAAATATGAAATGGTCCGTGGATAAAAACACTTTACACTTATATCAATCTGTCCCATTTAATAAGGATTTTGCGTTTGCTCCCTTCGAGTTCAAGAGGTGAATCAAATTAAGCAGAAACCTACGATCCACAAATTTGAGAACTCAAAACGCAGCTGTCAATGTTTTCTCCCTTTCATAAAAAGGTGTCCCCTGGCAAGGATCTCATTTAAATTTTTAATCAAACCTATTTGCATACGCAGCAGCCTCATGTGTGTATACATATATCGCTTACCTGAGCATACAATATCAGTAGACAAAGATCCCCGAGGATCGTCCAAAAGGGGATTAATTCAAACAGCTGGATGCTGTGTCGGCTCTAAAAAGGGTTGATGCTCCCTCCTGCGTTTTTTCTTCTACCAAAAGTCTTTGCGCGTAAAATTTTGTTTTCCTGGAAAATAAAATATTCACACAAATTTGAATAAAACAGCAAGTAAAATGTTGCATAAAGGAAGAGAACAGCCAAGAGAAAAGCGCGAAAACCACGAAAATTTCTGCATAATTTATTGAAATTTCGTGCCACAGACAAAGGAACCAAAATGAACCAAGCACCCTAGTCCGATATTGCATGAAATGTGTTTCTATTTTCCCGCTGCTCCGTGGTGCTCCATGCTGCATTATCCTTTTGGCTTGTGTGCATTTATTTTTCATTTGCATGAATTTTTCATTGTTTTCCCAGACACGAAAGGAGCTGCCGCGAGGATGCACTTAACGCTCCACAGGATCAAGGACAAACACGCGATATTTGTCAGCGGGAAATCAGCTTGCAAATCGAGCTAAATTAAGTTGGGTTCCCAGTAGAGACAGGCTAGCATATAGACATTCATCCTTTTGATAAACTTCCGATAACCATAAGTAAATATCTTTTCTTTTAATGTAGCAAAATCTATAACGTTTTTAAGTGGCGACCTTACCGCGGGGGAAATGTAAACATATTTCTACGCAATTTGTTGGCCTGCGATGGAGAGCGGTTGGAGCTTAAATAACCAAAATAAAGGAAGATAAATGCAATAAGTTTTCTTGTCTGTTTGGCTAATGCCAAAACAAAATTTTGATAGAATAAATTAAACTTTGAGATTGGATATATATTTGTGAACATCTTAGCCCAATTAAATTGCTAATAAAATGTAAAGTGTGAATGCTAAAAGTCCTTAATTTAAAGTCAGCCATTTTCCAAGATGGAAATCGGGGGTGAAGAGCCTTAGATTTAATCGAAA